AACCTCAGACTGATGTTAAAGAAACCAATGTCAGTCTTTTATTCTAAAAGATTAGAAATCCCAGTGGAGGTCACCATCTGGTTTGAGTTCTTCTTTTGAAAAACTCTAGACGTTTTGTCTCTTCCCCTTTTTAGGAGGCGCTCAAACATGGGAGCTTGTGATGTTTGAGAAACTATCACCGATAGATTATATATGAATTTTCACATAGAGACATTACTTACTCTTTTTTGACTTGTTTTCTCGTTTGGATGAGTCTGAATCACTCTCAGATGATGTTGATTCTTTGGATGATGATTGAGAATCGCTATCTTCTGATGAGTCGGAGGACAATTCTTCCGAATCGTCTGAGGACGGGGTTTCTGAGGAATCTTCGTCTTCTGAGCTGATATGTTTGGATCTTCTACTCCGTCTTCTTGATAGTTCTCCATCATTATCGCTACATCGTCTCGAAGTTGTTCGTCTAAAGCTTCTCCGTCTAGAGCATTGTTGTTTCTTTCTTCATCTTCTGGATTATCAGTTCCTTCCAAGTTGTTGTTGGTCGGAAGATCTTGTCCTGCCTCAGATGATGAAGGCGGTGGGATCTCAATTGGGTTGGATTGTGAATCAATTGGTCTTCCGCTTCTGGTTGCTCTAGTGTTTTGCTGTTGACTAGGCATTTCTATCAATGTTGTGTATGTAGAAAGGGAGATAAAGGGAGAAATGTTTGAGCTAAAGATGATTAATAAGTTGAAATATTGAGTTAGATTCTACTTTGTGAGCTTTAAAATGATGAAGAATGGGACTTTAGAGTACTAATGCTATACTAAACGATTGCAAAATAGGTTTATAAGGATCTTTGGAAAATAATACTATTTCAATGAGATTGATTAATCGATTTGTTAGCTAGCCAGTTTACTTGTAAGATGGATGGCTTAAAATTAGAAATGTAAAATAAAAAGGAATATATCCTTAATAGTAAGGGATAAAAAAGTAGAGACTGATGATGAGTTAGATAAAATTGATAATAAATAAAATGGTCGAACGGAGAGTACGCTAACGGAGAGGAATAAACTAGACTCTTTATAATTCCATTTCGACCGTGGAGGTTCGAGAATGGATGACGTCTCTATCTCTGAAAGTAGCAATGAGGTTTGAAGGGGATTGTTACTCTCCCTTTCGTTTCTCCTAAACTCTTAATCTTAATTAATACTCTTTTTAGAGTCATCCGCTACGGATTGATTCATGTCTCCATGGACAAGCTTTACACTGCGTACCTTCTGCACAGACCAATGAAACCCGTTCCAACTTACAAGACACGTGCAGATCACATCAGAGGCCTATGGCATTTAGGATCATAGCAGAAGAATTAACTTACCAGGGAACTAGCCTACACTTACCCTATCTCTGTTATCTTGACTGCCTGATTGTCAAGATGATCAATAAAATTCTGTGGGTTCCAATGTCAATCTCATGTCAGAGTTGAGTATATCACAACATGGTTATAAATGTAGCTCACCAAAATACTGCTATGAGTCATGTTGACTTCAAAATGACATGTTACTCCATGGTCTCAATAGTTCCTTCGATACGGGGTTGCCTGTGATGCTTGTAGAGTAAGTAATCAAAGTAATGTGTCTCAAGTTTTCTGGTTTCATGAAACTACCACATCTGTTCAAAGTGTTGTGCCAGTAAGCTTTGGTGAATTAAGGTACTCAAAGCTACATAGTTACATGTATATAGGTGTCATGTATGCTTTTTTTTGGCGGGGAAAATAAAACAAATATACTTTTGTACTCATTTTCCCCTCCAAAAAAAACTAGGTAGCAAAAAGTATGTACGCATACATACTTGCTTTGAGTATTGTTAATACATAAGGTGCAATAAAGGATTCAACCCTTTCAAAAATCACCCACAGGAACCACTCTGAGCCTCCAGCATTGATATACTAGCAGTGTATCGCCCAAAGCTTTGAGAAAGACTCTCAAGACATATTGATAGGTATATGTGTAGGTATAGTATCAAAGAAGGGACACTCCAGTGAATCCTGTAACTCCAAGATCATCCCAGCACTTTTATCGGCTTCATCACCGTGAACACTGCACACATGAGCCATACCACCCACACTTCATATGTACAGCAAGCTAAGTAAATAGTTGTCTATCATGTACATACAGGTCTGCCTAGTTTTCTGCTGATCATAATAAATAAAGCATATGTTATACCACATATAACTTTTTTTGCCTTGAAAAAAATGTCCCAAAATTTCACTACATATAATGCTGTAGCTGCTCCGGCAATATTGTTCAGGCAATTTCTTGGTAACCAAAAGGGTGTTACATCCGGTTATGTTGATGAGATTACAACAAAAAGTTGGGTCAGTGTATGTAGTCAATCTTTTGAATGCTGTTGTCAATCTGAAAAAAGTTACAGCATGTATTACACATGAATAACTTATCCTGATGAGCAGATAACTGAGCAGAACTGTATGTAAATGATAACCACCTATTCACTGAGCCTGCTACACATATGTAGTGTGGGGGACCATATCCTTGATTTTGAAGATAGGGTCTGAATACACCTGGTGGTGGGATTTGGTGGAGTACCAAGTTGTGGGGTCTTTGGGGGTCCGGCTGAGACGTGGAAAGTGATCATGGCAAATCTACTAAGGATCCCAAAAATATTCAGGTGAGTGGATGATAATCTACTACTGAAGAGACCAGAAGACACAGTCATGTTAGAGGAAGTGACAACATTAAGCAACAGTCTTGGAGTGAAAACAAACCCAATAAAAAACCACAATTTGGATGAGGAGCAGAGGTTTCTTGGATTCATATGGAACAGGACAGACCACAAAGTCCGTCTGCCCCAGATAATCTTGAAAAAAGATTGGCTCAGGTTGTGAAATTCATAGAGGAAGAAGGCCCCTGGAAGCTGACTCAAGTGGACAGGTTAGTGGGACAATTATGTCATACAGGTAATACTGTACCACATATGGCAGCCTTTCTATGCTCCATGTATCAATGGAAGAAGGGTTGGAAGATACCAAACACTCTGCATGAGGTTTACCCCAGAAGATGTAGTCGTAGACTTGAAGGAATGGAAAGTTTGCCTAGAGACCTTTGAGTCAAGGACCTTGGTGCCTAGTAGAGAGCCAGAGGAAGCCGGATGGGTAGGAGATGCCTCCTCCTCCTTTGGGTGAGTGTTGGAGTTGAGAATGCATAAATGAAGAAGAATTCCTGATGAGTTCACGTTTTGTTTCCTTGAATTTACCTGCTATCATAAACAGAATAGGTGTCCTAGTAGGCAGGAGCCGGGCCTGCTTCAAATGGAAATCAGATTGGTTGGTCAAAGGATTGAAGGAAGGGAAGCGGAATATTGCTTGGGCAGAGACGGTAACAATTTGCCTGGGGTTGTTGGTGTTGGTAAAGTCAATAGAAGTCAGAGGGAGATTTTTCTGGGTAGAGACGGACAACACCACCACAGAGTACGTGATAAAAAAGCGTAAGTCAAAGAATGACAGAGTGAATGATGAGTGGAAGCAAATCCAGAGACTGCTTACCTTGATTGGGTGTAATATTAAACAGCAACGAGTAGCATCTAAGAATAACCTAGCAGATGACTTGTTGCAGGGAGTCTTTGTCAAAGACAGTGTGGTGAAACGTGCGTGGAATGACGGAGTGAAAATAGACGCTCCAGGAGATCTCCAATTGTTGTTGTATCAGTACACCCCTTTAATTCCGGAAATGAATCTGTGAAAAGAACTTAGCTTTTCCGTTTTTTTGTTATACTCCTACGGAGTCCTTGTGCCTTGGAATCCTAGTGTGACATCAGATTCGAGAGCCCTAATTCTACTTTACTCATCCCCTTCAACTGAGCTTTGCCTTGACAAGAGGGGCAAGCTGCAATGGCAAGACTGAAAAAGTCAGCAAGGGGCAAAGACTTGGAGAAACCAGGACAGGAGAAAGAACAAATCAAGAAACTCACAAAGCCTTTTGGAGCGTTCAAGAGCGACACTCATGGAGTGGACAGCTCAGGGATAGATGAGGTCCAGCAACACTTCTTGCGAGGAGCGTGGAGGGACAGGACCCTAGAGCACTACAATTCTGGTGTAGTGAAGTTACTGACGTTTTCAAAAGTAAAGAAGGTGGATCAATCATTGCTACTGCCAATATCTACAGAAATTATATCATGGTGTGTTGTCTGGGCATCAATGAAGGGAGAAAATCTGACGTGTGATGATGAGTCAGTCAGGCTGTCAACACTGGATAAGACAGGCAGGCCGTTGACGCTGAAATTGTATATCGCGGGTACCAAAGCTTAGCATATGTTCCACAACGAGAACTACCCATACAAATCAGAAAAATCCGTGAAGAAGTTGTTACATGCATCCCAAATAGTGGAATTGAAATACCACCACGTAAAATTTGTGATGGCACGTCAACGTGCACACAAGAATGACTTGTTGTAGACACTGAAAATAAGCTTGAAAACATTTGTTTGGAACCCAACACCAATAGGCCATTGTAAAAGGGAGGCCGTTTAACACAGGAAGCCTGAGCGCCTTTCTTTGCACTTCTTTTCTAACACCCAAATTGCCCCATGAGTGTCTCTCTAAGATCTTTCCTTCTGAAGTACCTCCACTATCTCATCAAACAGACACTATATATCTCCTTGAACCAGATGAGACCCGGTCAATGCATGCATCTTGTATTCACTTTTGAATCAAGCACACGTGTTGTGTTCACTTTTCAATCAAGCACACAAGTTAACACATGTTGGTCTGCTCCCAAACATCTATGAGATATATTACAAGCAAGCTACATAGACATCAGTTGGATGTTGTCTGCCTCACCACGTAGTCACATCAAGGCGGCAAACTCTTTTTGCACTCAATAAAGATGTTTAATATGTCTTGTTGAGGAGGACGCAAAGCATAGACATCAGTGGGTAGTTGCCCACCTCACCACATAATCACATTATGGCGGGCGGTGAACTCTTTTTGGACCTCACAGAGATGTTCAATAAATCTTGTTGACAAAGCCTACATATGTTTGGTTTACCCTGTTACCTCCCATGAGGTGGTGACTGTCCCTCAGCTTGATTTTCGTATATAAGGTAGTGTTTTCTTGCTTGTAAATCAGATTCAAAGCTCTTGAATAAGTTCACTATCCCACTGCCTGATCTCTGTTGTATTGTCTACATATACAGAAGCATATTTAGTTCCCCTGAAAAACTCGAGTACTCTAGCTTTCTATAATTCAACAAAAAGTCTATACCAAATGCGTTCTAACCCGTACAAGTTATCTGCCAATCACGCAAAGGGCATCAAGTGATGGGCGTGTGCTATTCATCAAAACAATTCCCTTGGTACTTTGTCAAAGTTTGAAATGACTCGTGTCCACGTAAGTTTGATTCCCATTTCAAGTTGATACATGGAGCCTTATCCTTTTGTGGCTTGTCCCTTAGTGCCTGGTCCAAAGACATCTGCGCGCGCTGATGTGTTGGGACTCAAATTTGTCGCTTGTCCCACCCTCTCTCTCATACCTCAAGAAAGAGGCTTTACTCGATCGCTTCCCTGTTGGAACAGAGCTTCCTCTCCCTGATTCTGACCCTGTAATCTCGGTAACCGACTTTGAGATCACTGGTTTTTGCATGAATCACGACCACTCTCCAGAAGTTGAAAAGGAATTCAAACGCTGGGGCATTCGTTGGCCCTCTTTTGACTATGAGACCAATTTGGACAACCATGTAAACAGCTTAGGCCGCCAAATCTTCTGGAACTTGTTCTATTGTGCCATAGATGATCACGTGTATCATTGCAGGATGAATACAGACTTGCTCACCCGCAAAGGAATCCTGCCAGTTCTTTCGACACAGTTCAATTGCCTTGCTGCGATGTTTAAAGAGAAATGCACAAACTGAAAGGTCCTTGGGTATCATTACATGATTGTTGAAAAGAAAAAGGTGCGCAGTTTTATTTGTTATCATTGTTCATCCTCCTCCATGTGCTGACATATCTCGAAACCAGATTTGTGAAGAATACTGTGAAGTCTCACTCAAGTCAGGCGCCAACCCCATTTATACGTCCATCTTCCAGCCAAGGAACTATACTATGATGGGAGATGTCTTTGAAGTGAAGTTTGTGGCTGGGGAACTTTCAGTCAACGAGTTGCATTTCACCATACCTCAATGGTGGTCCCGAAAAACAATTTGTTTCATGGAAACCATCAAGAAACGGCTTGACTTTCATGCTACCTCTCGTGAAGCTTTTCCTGGAGCCAGTTGTACTCCTATCAAGTTCATAGCCACCTCAGCAATTCATAACGGTTATGTAACTTGACACCTTCCTGCCAACATGTACGGCAAAAATTCAAAGATTCTATACTACCTACCAACCTTTCTGTACTTGGAATGAAGCCCTCTATGATACCTGAACCTGAATACATGCGGTCAATCTTCCCTGCCAAAGAAAGTGAATTCAATTGTTACCCCTTGGGTGGTGTTGTCAACAATTACTATGACAGTGACAATGAGCTGTTGTCCGATGAGCTTCTCAACAGCGATCCCAAATTAGTTCTTCCCACTCTGGCTGGCAATCAACAAAAACTCGTGGATCTGGAGACTCCCTTCCAAAAAGAGATTTTGACTTTAAAGGATGGCTCACAAAAGGCAGTCACTGCCTTTTCGGATTTCTGTAAAGGCATACTAGACCTTATACCCATGCGCTTGGAAGATTTGCAAAAAGCAAAGGATGATATTAATAACATCAATACTAAGCTTGTTGCATTGGAAGGGAAGATAGGGGGTGGTGACAGTACAAGGATGTCAGCTGACATCGGCCAAGATTCAGATTCCCTCCCAGCTGCCTCTGATATCTTTTGCTAATATCCGACTGATGGATCATAACCTACTCGGACGTCATCCTTGTAGCCTAAATCTGATTTGATTTCTCAATATAAGTTATGTCTTCTATTATTGCACTCCTCCACATCCAAAATTGTGAAGTGTTCAACCATTCAAAATGGGGTGGCATGTGTGTGAAAATTTGTATCCTTAAATGAAGAGTTCTGAGAGTTTTGAAAATGTTCTCGGTTTCTTGAAACGTATATCTCTGTCTCGATTTTGTCCTTGCAGTATCCATTTGAAAAGTGATACTGAAAAATGGTACTTTGCGCACTTCATGATGTTCCACCATTCCAGCGTAAGATCAGGAACATGGTACTTTGATAATGTATAATCTATGATGTTCATACATGAAAGCTTCCATGTACTATCTCTGAAGCATTTCTGTCTGCTAAACGGAGGAAAAACACTGGGATGGGGATGATTGTATCCCGCTTCCGCATTAACCTTGCCTGCACAAGCATAAGGGTCCCAATGGTCAAATTGACACAACTCCCAAAGGTTTAACGTGAGGCATGACAATGGAACACACGCGACCTGAACTCGGCTCGTTGTGTATGCGTGTCATGATGGTAAGCTCAAAGTGAGGACATCTTACCGGGTATATAATTGTATCAATTTCATGACCAGTGAATCCAGGCAAACGAATGCTTGTTGACTGAAAAGGGATGGGTCCCAAGATGCTACTTGATCATGTCAAGCAAGGATGTTGACTGGTTCAAGAATATTGGAATGGTACCCAAAAGACCCAAATTCTGAAACTTTAGCAAGAGTTTTCAATGCTATGATGTAAAAACATTACACAGTTGCATGAGAGGGGTTGATGATGCCAAAAGTTTGTTTCTGAATAAGCCCTGCATCTTGATCATTTCGCACAGTGAGTGGGCATGGTTCACATACCTTTTGATTGGTTTTTGGTGATGCATTAGTTGGTTAGGTACAGTTGGAATAAAACCCTGCAGGTGATTTTGCTGCAAGTGTGTGCGGTTTGAAACACAGAAAAGAAGCAGCTGGACATTTGAAACAAAAAAACCAGTATGTCTGTTAGGCCACAAGACATTAGTGACATGTGGTCTGTGAAGCTTTCTGTTTATTATAAAGCTAGTCATTCTCACTTTGTGTTTCTTGTTCTCTTTCTGTTGTTGGTACCGCAAGTTGGTGTAATTGCTTTTGTCTTTTCTTGATTGGGGCATAAGTCTGCTGGTATATCTTTCTCAAACTCTTTGGAGAGGTCAATCAACCTCTATTACTTTTCTTTACCGGAAAAACACATTCTCTTTATGTATTGTTTTGTTAAATCTTGATTATGAGCTCTCAACAGACTAGTACACAGATGACTCCAAGTGTTTGCGTGGCCGGGAAGAAACATCGCCTTCAGGATGAGGTTCAAGATGATGAAGGTGTGTATCAATCATCTCACGTATAAGCATAAGCCAATTTGGGGTGGTGCTGATTTGGGGGTTTGAAATTTTCAAACAAGAAGGCCAAGGGTCAAACAAAAGGCGTGAGGAACTCGGGGAATTGTCTGATGAAAAAAACTCGGGTTTGTATTGTGACATTATATCCATCTAGAAAGTAGTTCGTGCTGATTTGTTCAATTGTGGGACTGTTAGATAGAGATCTCACACATGAGGAAGTCCTAGAAAGAAGACAAAAGCAAGCAAAGAAACTGATGGTACTCACTCAGATTTGACATTGGAATGAAGGAATTGGAAAGGTCACTGGACAACATAACATTCCTAAAGCTGCAACACTGCTTGCTAGAGCCATCCACGAATTTGTTCGAATGATCATGGGAATTCCTCAGAAATCAAGGGGGTCTTCAGCTGTTGAAGATGCTGGACTACAAAAATTGCCTGACCCACCATCCAAAGACAGACGGCATGCTGGGGAGACTCAGAGGCAGCAATGGGAAAACTTCATCTGGAATGCTCAGGATAAAGCAATGCAAAGATATCTGGCAAAGAAACCTCCTGGTTTCAAACCAAACCGAAAGCAGCAGCGGACAATCAAGAAGGATGCGGCAGAGATGGCAACTCTGCAGTGTCCTTTGCAGCCAGTTATATTCAGATCTCGGATCCTCACAGGATCTTGTACCAGATATGTGCATCATTTTGTATCCCAATGCGAGGCAAGCTTGGCCATGTCTGGGTTTCCATGGTGTACCTTTGACTTGCAAGTGTCATATGATACACCTTGGAACTCGGAGATGTCTACGATCCTCTTGGCTCATTGGGTCAAGGCTTATGAAGCACACAGCGCGAGAGAATTTGACATTCTGGTGCCGGAGAATACTGCAGCAAATTGTGAAGAAGTCCTTTGCTGCTGGTGTGGTAATGAAGCTCCGAAATGTCAAGATCAGACTTGAAATGTGGCGTTGACAAAAACCCCAGAAGGTCTAAAACACCTCAAAGATAACATCTCTATTGCAAAAAGCTTGACAAGTAAATGACGTAATATGACTAGGGTGGGTGGGAAGTTTCTCTCAGTGCTTATGAATGGGAAAAGAATGCTCATGTCAATACCTCTTAACAGATTTATGAGGCAAGGGTGTACATGGCGGAGAATTTTTTTGGTCAAGACTCACCTGAAGTTGAGATTTTGTCTCATCCTGAAGTTCATTCAGGGGATGAACCAGGATCCATCAATTCCTGTGGCTCTTGCAAAAGCTACAACCTGAATGGTGAAGCAAAGAATTAGATACTTTAAGTGGTCTCCTTGACACGGCTTATTGGAAGCAAAAGACATTTCCAAAGGAAAAAGGACGGCAAAACAACCCGTCGACCGGGGTGTATACACTCCTAATCCTGACAAGGATTGCTTCCCTCCAAAAAAGTTTCAGCTGTTGCTGGTTTGTCCAAAATGGTATGATCAACAAGAAGGATTGATTTTATCAGAGTTGGACTTGAATGAGAAGAGCCCTGTTGACATACGGAATGCAATCGAGAACGCCAAAATTACATTCAAGTCTCTAGCAACCCTTGCAGCAGACCAGAACATGCCGAGTGGCTCAAGTGGTATGAATACTGCCTGACAAAGATTGAATGGATTGAATGGTATGGCAATGCCTTTCCTGATTTGACAGTGGGATTGAAGAAAGTGCATTCTATTGATGGCTTCAATGTGTTTCCTCCTGAATAAAAATTAGGTCTAATTGTCATTGTGTATAGAGATCAATATGGTGTCTCCCTCAATTCTAAATAAATCTCCTTCTCTGCACATGTTACCAGGTTTTGATAGTTCTGAATGTATATAGATAAATTTTCTAAGAAGGTAGTTTGTGTTCTCTATACTTGTGAATAGCTGTATTTCTTGTTTTCTCTCTTTGTGGATAGCTGTTCATAATGTATAAATATTTATACGGGTTTTGTGTGGTATGTCAGAGGTCCTGAACCTAAGAATTTGATACCTTTACTGTGTCAGCTCCTATCATCCGCATTAATTTCAAGGAGATCTAAGCCTCACCCACACTTGAGCTGAATGTTTATACCAAGACTTTCTAGCCTTTAAATTCACCCTCGTATCTATCACTTGTGTCTCTACCTCCCACATTTTGGTATGAGCACAGGTTATTCCAGGGTTACAGTATGTAATCTTTGATGACAGAGGCAAAACACCTTTTTGATCAACTTATTTGCTTACCCAACTTTTTGTTGGAGCCCACGTTTATCAAAAGTTACAGTTTCTTACGGGAGTCCAAACCTTTTCTTCAATCACCATCTCATATTCAATCACCAAGGGCTACATGATCAAATGCTTCAACGTTTTGGATGGAGCCAGTCTTAATCCAGGATTTCAAGCTTCTAAACATTGATGCAGAATGCTGGTGGTTAAACTTGATGGTTTAATATATCACAAGGAATTAATGCAGACTTACGGTTTGTTGATATATATTACTCCAATGATGTTTTGTGGCACATCAACAAATAGTACCAGTTTTGTGATCCCCTCATCTCATAAGGCCATGCTTTTTCCCCCCGGTTTCCCCCAAGGAGATTTATATTCACAGTTCCACTTCCTGCATTCCATTTGTGACCCCAATTTCCATACCTGTTCCTTCCATTTCAAACTCTTAAAGTAGCCCGAATGGCATACTTTGGCCCCAATCACACATACTGCACTTGTTTTGCACTTGAGTGTTCAGAGAGCCAGTTTGCAAGCAATGGACAGATCCACACAGGATGATGTTCCACCGGACATATTATCCTAGGCATTTGGAAGCTTCTGAAGCTCAAGCTCAATCCAACAAGAATCCAGTTCATGATCACGATACATCACAATCAGCATCCAGCTATCCAGTTCCACAAGGTCCAGGTGCAGCTGACCTTGAGGTCTCAAGCAGTGGCACTATCCCCATAATTGGGAAGCGCGCTCGATCCCCGAATTTCTCAGAATTGGCAGTTACTTATGGCGGCAATGATCACCCCCCTCCAATGAAGATCCAATGCAAAGCCTTGCCCATCACTCCACCTCTCCTAGTCAAATCAACACACCAACTGGAATTTTGCACAGAACGCTTTTACACTCCACAGAGACTCCTCCAACACCCATCATGTGTCCAATCCATGATTCAGGTATTGAATGATCATCTGGTAAACAACGGTTCTGTGGTGGTGTGCCAGACGTCTCTCAAAATGGAGTGGCACAAAATCGAGTCCGCACTTACTCGGAATGACCCAAAAGTCAGTGGGGTCTGGGAACAGATCCCACTTGCCCTACCAAAGCTTCTACAGACCTTTCACCTGCATGCTGATCTTAATAAAACAGTTTCTTGCAAAATATGTTTTTCATTAAATGGACCCAAAGAGAAAAATCCCCACCATGCAAACTGTCCTTACCTTTGATTCTCCGAAACAAAGCCTTCTAAGAGCAAGTGTGTCTGTGCTGCCCCATTATACAAGCCAGGATTTAAGTGTTCAAATTCAATCAAACCATTGCAGATCTTCTATTACCAGAATTTCCTTGAATGGCTCACTTGGATGTTACATTATTGTACACCACTGAAGGGTTTTTTGGTGAATACACGCGCAGACCGGCCCTTTCAAAACCCCAGGGGTACGCTGTGCGTTCCTTAGGTCTGATATGTGATATACCACATCATCAGATTATTGTGAGTCACACGCACACTCAACGTCCCCGCCTGACGTTCCGGCGTCACCACGAGGATCCTGCATCGTTTGCGTGTGAACATCTTTGAGAGCTATGAGCTGCTGATACCCCGTGGGACACACGTGCCGCCAATTCACCCCAAATGAACATCAACCTCACATCACTGAAACGTGTTCCAGAGGTTGTAACCACCAGATGGAGGACCAGTCAGAGGTTCATGTGTTTCATGTGAGCGTGCGAGATCAAACTGTTCCCTTTGGGAACATTGTGCGGCCAATCGGCTTTGGAAACACCCAGACGTCGATCGCTTTCCAAAGATTCCTTTCGCGAAGTACCTCTTCCCAAGCCTGACATTGTTAATCGCAATTGTTAATCACATCACCGCCCGTATAATTACAATGCCTGTTGGATTCATATCTCCAAACCAAGCAAACACTGATAAGTGTGAGCTTTCTCTGTCTGATGGCTTCAGAACCAAGCAAACGCTTAGGAAACATATATTGTGATGTCCGGGCTCTCGTAGACTTCGTACAAATCCTAACTGGCCCAAAAATAGGCCAGTGGGGGTGTAAGATATGTACAAGCCGTACGTTCAAAGATCGGGTTAAGCACAGCAAGCTCTCCACTCACATCAACCGAGTCCGATTCGACATCGAAAGCTCCTCTGGGGCGCAGAATGCCATACCGACTCCTGGTTTAGCTGGTCGGCCCACTGCACCCATGTCCCCAGTAATTCCGGACGATGTCGCTATCGATCCCACCGATGATTCGAGCGGACCTCGTGGTGTGCCCACGGCGCATATTGATGTACTTGCCGAGGAATTCGACGATGACATGGCCACAATCTCCGATGAGCTTGAGTCTCTGTATGACCCAAACGATCGGCCGATTGACTTGCCGCCGTCTAGACAGTCCAGTGTCGACCTCGACAAATTCCTGGATGATCCATCCGATGAAGAGAGTCTTACATCCCGTTATGCTGAAGAGGAGGCCATCTCTGCTATCGACACATGGCTCCCATGGTATCCTCTACGAAAGAAAGAGGTACAGTGGATTTCCCCCCAAATATATTAACTCTAACCTGGGCATTACTGACCGACATTGCTTTCGTTCTTAAGCATGTTGCCGCATTGTTGCTGTTGGGCAACGGGCGCAACTTACTTTCCACTGCACAGTACAAACGCATACGGTGCATTCTCAAAAAGGTCCTGAATGTTGATCTGCCTGACCTTGGTCTGTACCATCTCCCGTGGCCCCAAATGTAAATGTCATATGTATTGACAGTTCATTTAATTTTGTAGGCCACATTAAACATATCCGTGCCGAGCTCAAGGAACGTCTGGGCCTTAGTGTCTTGGAGAGAATAAGTCCGCATGGGAACCCTTGTTTTACGCTCTCAGTCAAAGACATCATATCCCAAGTGAGTGTTTCCTATTATTCCTATTTGACATACTGTTTGTCTCACATCGCTGACATTGTATCACAGGAGCTGGCTAACCCGGAAGCACGCCCCCACATCGAATTCATACCGGAAATTGATCAGGGCGTGACCGTCGACCGATATTCACAATCAAAGAAGTGGCGTGAAGACCTACCAGTGGATCTTCGAGTACCTATGGTCGAGGTTTATGGAGATCACTTTTACATTTACGAACCCTGCCAGCTGGCAGATGCGCGTGTGGTTGTTCCAATCTTTTTCTATAAAGACAATTCAAGTATACGTGCAAAATGTTTAGAGGTCATACCTGCTGGTCAAGGTACAAGCAATTTCATGATTCCGGCCGAGCCTAAATTTGCGTCAGAGAACTATTTGGACTTGGATGTGGAAAAATTTGCAAGATCTTTCCTGCAAATTGAATTGTGGAATGGTCAGAAATGGTGTGATTCTACAAACACTCAATTGCTGCGTGAGTTTGGAACCTTTGGGTGCCTTGGACGTCCTATTGGAGGCAAGCTGATCATGACATCATCGAATAGAAAATTCAGCTTTTGGTGCTTCAATCATTGATCTCCCAAATCCGTGGCGGACAAAGGCCAACAGAATGATGATTCACAGCGTACCAATAGTTTTGTACTCAGATGATACTTCTGGAAATATTTCAAAAAAATGGAATAAGCACATGTCATTCTACTTCTCATTGGCCGGCCTGACTCCAAAATTCACCAACCAGGAATATCACATTCACTCGCTGTGCACATCAAACGTTGCAAGTGCTTTGGAGCAAGGGGACCAAATTGTTGATGAATTGAAGTATGTCCTTACTTGTGTTTTTATGGATCACAAATTAGTGCAAACGAACTGATCAATGGAATTAGTCATGCGGCATCCACAGGTTTCCGTGCTTATGATTGTTGCTTACAGGAAACTGTGCTGGTGGTCCCATTTATCCTTTGCCACATGGGTGACTCGCCTATGCATGCTGAGATTTCCAATACCACGAACCCCTCGGGAACTTTATCGCCTTGTTGAATATGCAACTTGACAGTTGAGTCAAGAGCGGAGAAGCAAACAGAGACCTATGTTCAACAGTTTGTTGGAATAGATGAAGATTGGATGCCGGTGAGAGTATATAGGACTGATCTAGCATGATAGTGATTTGGCTCACTTTATCTTGTCCGCCTTAGGCTTCTCTACCCCTCCGGAGCTGGGCCCGTACACGCGAACAGACCAAAGAGTTGTGGGCTTTGACACGTAATCCGAAAAGCATCAAACGTTTTGACAACCTTTCAAAAACATTTGGAACTCGGGATTCTTTAAATCTACCCTTTGCAAAAGACGCCCAGCAACTCTACCGTTCTAACAAACATAAACCCAAAGCTGATCAGATCTCTCAGGAAGATATCATACGCCGTTGTGAAAGTTTGGAGGAAAAATTTGGGGAACATATGTCCAATCCTTTTCTGCGTTTGGCAGGTGAGTACCCTCCCAAACTAATTGGTTCTTTCATTTTTGGACGTGAGCTGACCATTAGGTTCCCAGGGTTTGATGGTCATGTGGACACCCCGGTTGAGTCTCTACATGTGGTTCTTCTTGGTGTGACTAAATATATGTATCGAGATGTAATTTCAAAACTATCTCCTGCAGAACTTGTCACCGTGACTGGCCGATGGCAATCTTTTGGCATTGAAGGTTTGAATTGTGCACCCATTCAGCCTTGTAATATGGTGCATTACGCGAATAGCCTGCTCGGTAAAGACTTCCGAGTGGTCTTGCAGGCCGCTCCTTTTGTCCTTTTCGAATTCCTCCCGGACGACTATTGTCACTGTTGGATTGCTTTGGTCCACTTGGCATCTTACGTATTTCAAACTCGTCTTCTCAACAAGCAGGAGTACGTTGCCGGTCTGAAGGTGGTTGTTGCTCAATTCTTGAACTGTCTTGTTGGTCTCACTGCGCAATGGACAAACAAACCGAAATTCCACATGCTCACGCACCTACCGGACTCTGTCGATCGTTTTGGACCGCCAAACTTGTTTCTGACCGACAAAATGGAAGCTCAAAACGGCCCAACGCGGGCGGCTTCAGTCAAATCAAATCATCACGCTCCTGGCAAAGATATCTCAAACACCTTCAACAACGCAAGGCTTGTGAGGATGCTGATCTCAGGGTGTTCTTTCTATGATAAGAAACTTGGAACACGAACAACTGCTTCAAGGTTGATCCGAGACCTCTTCCAAGAGAAAGAGATTAGACAGTCTCTGGGCCTGCACCTCCCTCGCCCAAACACAGGCATAAGCAAACTGAAGGTAACATGTGAGTATAATAGTGCTGTTGTTTAGTTTCCTTTTGCAATATATTTACTTTCATGATCCTAGACTCAAAAGGAGATAATTCCCAAGGCCAACATTCCGAGCGGCCACCTGTTGAACTATTACGCCAATGGCCAAATGCAAATTGGAGAAAAGGAGTCCAGTTTGTGCATGACAATGGGCGCAAGGTGTCATGTGGCACGTTTTTGCTGGTAAACAGGATCTTGCCATTATCTAGTTGGTTCAGGGTTATTTTGTGACTTGATTCTCTTATTCCTCCAGATTGATTTTTCCCACAATGAAACCTCCCCTATCAAGATTGGACGGGTCACTGACATTTGGCACCAAGATACTACCAATGTCCTTCTGATTCAGGTTCAAAAAGTGAAGTTGTCATCTGGACTCCACCCTTTTATGGTATGAGAGAAGTCAAGGAAACCAATCAGCACGTTTGGATTAACACCGATGTATGTTTTTCTTTCTTTACCATTCATATTGAGTGGCCGCTGAGAATCTGTGACCCACAGAATGTATCATGTGTGCTCAATGTGCAGCACAACTGCCACGACGCCAAATGTTCCGTCACCAAAACCCGATCCTTCCGCATTGAACGTACTGCCGCGCAAAATAAGAGGCCTGAAGTGACTCATGAGGCTTTCAACTCTTTCATCATTAATGCCGGTTCCCACTATTCGTCAGAGTTTCATCGCAGTGTCACCAACCATGTGTGGACCGATGTGACGCCTGCCGAATGGAAAGACTCTATCACCAGAGGCCTGTCCGCATGGTTTGAGAGATGTCCACCAAAAGGATTGGGAGACAACCTGGATGATTCCATGCCCGACGAAGACGAAGATCAGACAGGTGACATTGCTGCGTAATTTATTCTCAACCAATTTGTTATGTGTTCTTTCAACTCATTGTTTTAGGCAGGCAAATTGAAATGTTTGATTACTTTACGAGCAGCACTTTGGCATTATAAAAGAATGTATTGCTCAAAGATCAACAAGCTTGCTCTCAGACATTGGGAGGCGGTAGGAATAAAGACTTTCCCCCATTCCCTTAAAAACCTTGATAAGCGCCATCTCCTCTGCAACAACTTGTCCAAAAGGTCGCACACCATCAAATAGATGTCTGTCTATCTCCTTGATGGTCTTGTGGTACCTAAGCCCAAAACAGAAGAAGTTGTAGAGTACGATCACAAATACATCCATTTTGTATGAACTCACTGAATTTGTTTGTGTTTAATCAAGTGGGTGATTATCCATTTGACCTTCAAATCAACAAGTGGCCAAAAAGGTCCCATTGATGTTGCAGTCAGAGTCGCGCTACAGAGTGACTCAACCGCAATCAAGCGCTGATGGTGATATGGATGGCCATTAGTATGTCTTGACTTGTATACTCATTCAAGACAGAAGACTCACCATTAGCGCTATGCGATCAATGTCCTCTGGTTTCATTTGATAAAATTGGCCTGCAAAAGACCGATTGATCTATACAACACAATGTCCATAAGTGATTTGAGTTCCCCACGTGTCAAAGACACCGAAGACAAATATCTACGCTGACAGACCTTTAGGATCAGTTGTTCCAGAGTTGGGACAGCTGCGTTTGGGGCGCTTTGGAATTCAAGATTGCACATGATCTATATAATCACATCAGTTTTGAAGGCAATACACTCGATTCCAAACAGATATCCACTTACCAAGCATTGAAATCTCATTCGCATTTTGGATGTGACCCTTTCTACCATGATGAAAACCCGCTTGGAGAGCTGGCAGTTGGTCATCCCAAACCCTTTGGGAAAGGTGGAGGCGAACATTTTGGTACTTTGCAGACGCCAAAGATGAGCCTATCATTAATTGACCAAGGTATCAGACATCAAAGATTTGAGAGTCAAATCTTTTTACACACACCATGATCATCCACTCCACGCTTGGCATCAGTTCGCCTCGGTTTTTGAGCGGTGAGTAAGTAGTTTTTTGGCTGTCCAAAAAGCATTGCCTGGCCAGTATCCTAATCAAAACCTGTGCACTTCTGCCTCCTGATGAGTCATTTTGAGCACCCCAAGTCTGAAAATCAGAGGAACTTGCCTTCAGTTTGATGTCAATCATATCTGTTTGATTGGCAACAAGTGCTCCTCCCAGGGAACTCTTTGATCGAGCATGCTCGCTCAGCCTACCCTCCCTGAGCATGCTCGGAGGGGTTTCAGGATCTTCTTTTCGGAGGTGATTTTGGTCAGACATTGCAGTTTGCTGACAAATTAAAGAGTTCGGTTGGAGGCTCCACAAGCCTCTTCCTTTTTTTTTGGGTCTTGCTTTTTTGTAGCATTTCTCTCTCTCAATCACTTTAATCGCTTTGACTTTCCTTGCGGCAATGTGGTGAGCTCATCACATTCCTTCCCCAAATTGGAATTCCAGAGCGTTGGAATGCCAATCTGGTGACATGTCAACCTGGGGCGAAAGGTGTCATCATCACAGGGTGACAGGTCATCATGCGCAAACCATCCCTGGCTCACGTCCTTCATCCAAATCAAACCCAGACATGCCGAAATCGCCCTTCCCTCTGGAAGTCAACTTCATCAAGCCGGTAAACACCTTTTCGATCTCGCCCGCGATGTTCCCACCAACCACTGATAGATCTAGGATGCTGCATTCCACTTGAGATGTGAACAATTTTGGGCTCTGGAATGCATTCCGAATCGCACACTAAGACAGGTCGGTGTCGAACACTAAACTAGTATGGCGATCCAAACTGCTGATGTACACGGATTTTTGCAAATCGGGGGGCACATTGCCTACGCCTTCAAAACCAAGCTTTTGCAGGCCTTCAAATGAATCGATAATCGTTCTCTCAGCACCTTTTTATTCTTCAGCATTACTCATATTCATATTCAATATGGATATGAATATGGATGATCTGTTTGCAGATGATACGCCCATGGAGGAAAGCCAGTCTGACTTGCTCCCTTCACAGAACAAGCCTTCCATACGCCGTGAATTTGATCATTTCATCTCTCTCATATTCGCTCCTACTTTCATTGACTGACTCTTTTCTTTGTTGGTCTCCATCAAATCACTCTTATCCCTCTTAGCATCGCGAAGTGCGATTTCGGTCACCGCGGAATCACCCCAGACAGTCGCTGCAACCCTATTCCGCCCGCCCCAACCACGTAACACACCTGCATCAGTGTCTTCACGCACACCCGCTGGCCGCAACAGGGTGAAGACATTTGCCAACCTTCTTAAACTCACCAAGGATAATCAGGAAATCTTACAGAAGATGATTGATGTAAGCCTCCCTCCTAACGTTCATGTTATATCCAATGCTCTTGTTGCGCCTAGAAAAGTAGTCTTAGAAGTGACCTTCTCACCTCCCTCTTTGGGCAGAACACACTGCCTGGCGAAGAATACTTAGGAACGCTCTCGTACTTGGTTTTTGCTTGTCAAGAAGGCAGAGCGGGGGGATCCGGGTTAAAGTGGGTAGCTGGTCGGGTGATCCGAGTGAGTCATTGGCATCACCTTGTCAGTGTAATTTCTAACCAATCTTCGTTTTGGTCCAACTTTGGTGTTATGTGCTGTCAAAGGATTCTCTCAAGGACCAGGTGGCCGAGTTCGTCTTCCGGCCTGACATTCAGGCCTTCAGCAAGAGCGTGGCCGAAGATCACACGACCATGTTTCAGAGCCTAGAGGTTCTTACATTTGTAAGTGTGAACTATCGTTTATACTGCTTACCACCCTCACTGTTTATTTGAAATCACTAACTACCCTAAACACCCACAGAACTTTGTCAAGACTCTCAAGCCCGATTTTGTAGAGGCTCACTGTCCTGGCGATTATATCGCCGGTGAGGCATGTATTCCAGGTGCTGCGATGTACCTGTTTGTCAAGGAGATTCTCAAGAACCAGCGCTCCAAGGTACGCTCAGCGGTGAGTGCCAGTCTTTTTACAAGTTGAACTGACCTCTGAACCGGGTGGCGTTCAGATCATCGACGATGATGCTGATTTTGTTCCTGCACCCTTGATTCGAATAAGCTTCTCACAAACATCCTCGGGGTTAACGAGACCAGTGTGCTCAAGGTGCCCGCAGCCAAATCGATGTTACTTCAGGTACGTTCCATCTCCGGCAAATTTCTCGATTCTAAACGCTGACTGTCCATTCTTCAGGTGGGTCGAACGTTTCTGCCCCACGTACGAGCCTTGGAGGACCATGAGGTCTTGCCGAAACTGGGCCGTCCGACAGTGATCAGAATGATTTTCATGGTAAGTCTTGTGGGTTTTCAGGAGGCAAAATATCATACTGATCTAGCCACCGTGTTGTAGTGATATGTAACCGCTTACAACTACCTCAATCACACCGAAAACAAAAAGCGTTGCCAATGGACGCTCATGGACGAGGCGCTTGCGGAACTGCGCGCTAGACCCAATAGCAATGCAAATTTGTAAGTTTTTGGATTTCTCTAGGACTACGGTCTGTCTGAGACTGACTTGACCCGCTCGTATGTCTTGCAGATACTTTGCTACAGTCCTGCGTTATGACCGAGACGTTTTCGATGGTAAGCGTACATGGGCGACTATCAAGGCGTCTGTCAAACTCCCAGCCCCTTTTGTGGATCAAGTCCTAGCATCTGTTCAACCCCAGAGTGGCTCCGAAGTCATTGGTAATGTTTTAGACGGGTCTGGTAATCAGGCTACGGGGGAAGAATTTGAGGAGGAGTGAAACCCCATGTACATAGATAGTTTGAACACCAATGCCAATGTTCTTTTAATTCAATGTAAACATGTTGGCTGTCTCCATCAGGTTTTCACCCTACCAGGGAAGGAGCAAGTGCGAGCGATCATTCAGACGCGTCAAATCGGTCTGGCTGTACTACTGGCGGTCCTCAGCGCGCGGACTGCTAAGTCAAGAGACGTGCCTGCCGCCGGCGTGCTGCGTGTTCAACCTGTGAGAGCTCCTCACGTGGAATCGGGCAACCGTGTTTGCCTCTCCTTCACGCGCATTACATATGGTACGCACGGCCTATCAGACACTTGCGCGAGTACACAACGTCCCTGTACACGTTTGTGCAACATGGGGAGTTCGCGTGGAGGAGACGAATTTGCGCTCGGCGTGAATTGCACGCGGAATCGCCCTGCCAAATGATTCCGCGTGAAATTCACGTGACAACCCTTCAGTGGTGTACTTTCAAATCCAAGCTTGATGTTGCCTTGAATCGCAAACCACCACCTGCTGGGACCTTGTAAGTTATCTGGGATGGTACCCTCTGGTTGACTTTTGAAAAAAACAGGCAAGTTTTCACCCGGATGTCAGGAATTCTCGTATTTGATTTCTATTGTGATTGGTTTCACCCATACGGGAGCAAAAGAGGACGCAAACATAGCGCAGGCCTCATCCTTTTAATCTGTCTAAATCTACCTCCTGACATTTGTTACCAATCAGAGAATATATTTGTGTTGAGCTGTTGGAAGTGTGCTTGCAGGATTAATCACTTGCAGTCTGGAGGAGCTGTATTGTAGAGACATGTACCCACCACAGTGACAACATTGGCAACACAAGTGTCTGTAGCCTAGTGGTAAAGGCAGCACTCTAGTATGTGTCTCAGTTAGCACTGAGGTCATGGGTTCAAATCCCATCAGACACATAAATACATTTTACCATGGTATAACACCCAGTCGCCAAGAACCAAAGAGCCATCACATGTATCTCTTACTAGCACCACTAATCAAGGAGCTCAATGACCTATGGAAAGGTGTTTGGTTTAGTAAAACCTCACTCCACCCCACAGGTAGAGTCATTAGTGTTACTTTACGGCCAATCATTGCTGATGTACCAGCAATGAAGAAAGTATCCGGGTTTTCTGGACACAGTTCCACTAACTTCTGCTCAAAGTGTTACATCACAATTGATGATGTCAGCTATGTTGACATGAAGGTGTTCAAATCCCGCACTACAGATCCCCCATTCTCACAACTCACGAGCTCAACATGATCCACCAGAGTGTTTCTAATGTGATAGTGCCATCATGGATGACGTGTGTCCCAGCAAAAATTGACATGCCAATGTCAGGTACACCTAAAGCAGCCAAGTGGCTATCTTTGTACACAGTCTACATGGTTTTATCTCTTATCCCGTATCACCACCATGCTGAACCAAATTCCAATGCTGCCAAAATCCATCTGGCAATTACCCTTGCTACACAGATAGAAAACATCCGTGTCTTGCGCACACTCACTGATCAAGATCTGAACACACTTCCAAATCTACTTGTAGAATATCGCCATCATCTGCTAGCAGGCTGGCCTTCCATCAAATCAAAGCCAAACCTCCACTTTGCGCAACATCTTGCTACTCAATCCCGACTACTTGGACCTCCGTGTACACTGCCTGCTGGTCTGGAGAGCGTATCATAGGTTCAATGGTCAAAATGCCAAAAAGTGGGGACAGAGGTGAGTTTATTGTGATCACGTTCATATTTTCAGTGTTGAAAGCACTAACATTATGACCTCCTTGTTCCAGGTGTCGTTGGCCAGACAATGATCCGGAAGCACACTCAGTGGGCTTCTTTTCTCAACTTTCTTAAGAATGTACCGTTGGACTATGCACAACAGATTGGTGCTGATATTATACTGAAGGCCTCATCGTGTAAATGGCAATCTTATTTACCATTGGCGGAATTAAGCAAATCAATTAGACCGTTATTAGAAGAGATGGGCCTTGATAGCCAAGTGACTGTTGAGAAGACCTCAATTTGGCCGCACACACTGCGCCAAATTGCAAATTTACCGTGGAGTTTAGAAAATTGAGTAGACATAGAAAATTATAGAGAAGCTGGCAAGGGTCAGAAAAATATGAAAAAATAATGGGAGGGCCCTTTGATGCATTCCAATTGTCTGGCATATTTTTTCATATTTTTAAAACCACAATGCATATAACACTACACAAAACATAATATCTTCTGGGCAGAGAATACAAAAACCAACAAACAGTGATATTGAGCAGTCTTGGAGAGAGACAAAAATACACAAAAATATGCATATTGTTCCTATGGCTGAGACCGTGGATTTGAGTATTTTTTTGTATTTTTAGTGCGCAGATTGTTGATTGTACTAACAAAAAACCTCCAAGTTTCTCAGATTACAACCTGTAACACGGATTGGAATTTGGCCAAGGGGTGACAAGGGGATATCTGGAATTCTATATCCCTCATATCTTTTGCAATTCTGGGTCAAAACACTTGATAGTTAGCTGATTAGGAAGCAATGAAATGCATTTGAATGTTATGTTGATGCATCAAATCTGTAGCTCCGCTACAAAAAAACCTATTTGTCTTCAAAACAATTTCCTATATAGCCACATAGATATTCTTTGGGATTAGATGCAGGTTTGTTGTCTCAATGAAAGATATAGTCACAGAGTTTGGCTTTCCAATGAAGAAAAAATTAAGTGGTTTGACCAAGAATTGACAAAGATATAAGGGATTGTTGAACTCAAATTATGCCCTCCAATGTCTGTTACAGGTTGTAATCTAACAATCCTGGAGGTTTTTTGTTAGTACAATCAACAATTCTCACACTAAAAATACAAAAAAATACTCAAATCCAAGGTATCAGCCATAGGAACAATATGCATATTTTTGTGTATTTTTGTCTCTCTTCAAGACTGCTCAATATCACTGTTTGTTGGTTTTTATATTTTCTGCCCAGAAGATATTATATTTTGTGTAGTATTATATGCATTGTGGTTTTAAAAATATGAAAAAATATGCCAGACAATTGGAATGCATCAAAGGGCCCTCCCATTATTTTTTCATATTTTTCTGACCCTTGCCAGCTTCTCTATAATTTTCTATGTCTACTCAATTTTCTAAACTCCACGGTAAATTTGCAATTTGGCGTAGTGACAATGGACAGTCATTCAGTACACATGATGAACATCCCGGCAACAGCTATATCGAGTTCACCTTTTGGGGGGAAAGAGGATGTGGAGTGATCCACCACATCATACAGGCTTCTAATGTTTCTCTACCAATCTTTGTTCTTCATGTGTTCCATGACCTTGACTCAAATGACAAGCATTGAAGCCCTTATAAATTGCTACCACATCTTAATGCAACAGTGAAGTACAATAATAACCTTTTACTTCAATCCATCTATGAATAAGACATATTTGGTAATTGTGCTGCATTACATAATTTATCAGGAACATTTGGAATAGAGAAATCAACAATCACCCTAGTCAGTCTTTGCAGTATGGTGAGGTCTTTCTCTTTTCCCTGTACATACATGCACCTAGAACTGAAAGCATTATGTATGTATCCAGAGCATTGCCAACATGTCTTCAAGCTGACATTGGAATTGTATGCTCATCATCAAGTTGTTATGAAACACACGAGGTCAAACTCATTCTACAAATCTCCATTCATTATAAATGTAATCTCTATACAAACAATGGAATTCATTTGTGATACACACGGTGTAGAACTCTTTCAGTACACAGCTGAAAGCAGAGCCAAGAAGGGGATGAATGAAGACACAAATCAACAAACACACACAATCAAAAGAGGAATAAGTCTTGAGATGGTGAATTGAAAGACTTCAAACAAAAAAATAAATGCCCTTCTTAAACAGGGACTTTGATTATCAATGAATTAAATTTAAGACCTTCAAGTCTTTGGATTAATAAGAACCAGGCTGAAATAGGACAATAACTTCAAAAATAGCACAGTCTAGGCGCACTCAGGCACCTTCCAAATGAGCAAATGAGCTGACAACTCAACAAGAAATTAATTAAAAGATGAATAAGGGTCTTATTATTATAAAATTCCAACTTTCATTAGTTGTTTACCTGAATGATAATAATAAAAGATAAAAGCTTATTCTAAAAATCTAGTAATTACTTTTGCTGACTAAAAGGATCCCAAAGGGGAAGAAAAGAGACACTTGACTATATCAAAATTGAAACACACAAAAAAAGATAAGACAAAAAACACCCCTCAAACTCGAAATTCACCTTCATACAGCTTTTTCACAGCATAACTCTCAATGAACCCCCAAAATAAAGCTGATAGACGGATGCAGCACACACAAATTGAAAATATACAAACTTTCAAGCTCATAAGCAGCACTGTAACTTAGCTGTTTACTACAAAAACCCAAATTTCCGCCATTTTCCCTTCACAGCTGAATTAAGATAAGAAAAAGGGACCATATAAAAATTCTGAAGGGACAGAAAAAAAGGTCTGCTTCCGCTCTACAACTTTGCTCAGCCAAGCTAAACTCTAACTCTATTGGTTGTACCCTTAAAATGAAATTCGATTTTATGTGAAAATACTCGAAATTGGATTTACCCAGTTTACCACCTGATATTACCACTAAAGTTGATAAGGATGATGCTTAAAATTAAAGTTGTTGGGAAATATGCGAAAATAGAATCTACCCCAACTAACATCTACCCTGAAATGGTGCCGTGGTACCCTTGAATTCAAAGTTCCCTGCCAAAACTATGCAATTCTCAGCCTTCGAAAGTCATTTTTGAGTTTCGTAATGTCGGAAATTCTCCTATGTCAAATGTAATTGTAATTTTCAATGTTGTATTGCAAAACTTTGTTGTTGTATCATCTACTATGGTGCCCATTCAACTTTGAACCCTAAGGGCCCGTTTGGTTGCCAGAGATTATCGCATACTACAGTAAAAGTGTACTGCATTAATGGACCCAAAAC